CAAGGCGCGTTGAGCTGTGGGTGCGTGATTTTTACTGCGTCTGTTAGTTAGCTGACTGGACCATTCAGCTGTTGACGCGGAAAAGATGCTCGGTTCGCATTCGATCAACGCCAGAATCTGGGACAGAAGGGTTCTGAGGTGGCTGGATATTCGATTCGAGAGGGAGCATGATTTGGATAATGAGACAAGCTTAAGGTGTGTCGCCGTCATTATCGCTGTTGCGAATAGTCCTTCTTATCAAGTCCCACTCCTCACCAAATGCTGTCTCAAGGCGTGCCTCCCAATCAACTACTTTCTCACCAAAATCCACCACCACCCGCTCATGTCGCGCACTCACCCTCTCCAGCCCTGCTCCCTACCCTGCCCAACCAGCTGCACCTCAAGATCATTACCGAGACCCTCCTCGTTCCCGCTCCGTCACCCGCCAACCTGGCCGTGCGCCGCCTCGCGCTCATCTGTCGCCGATTCCATGCGATGCCGACCTCCTCCGCGCTTCCGCGATACGGAGTGTGTCCTGCCTTCTGGCGACTATCGTGGCGCGGCCTGAACTGGGGCGGCTTCTCTGCGGCGCATACTTGCTGCTTCGTTTGCCCGCTGGCCGGATGAGCGAAGTTGATATTGAGAGGCAGGAATCTTCACTTTACTTTCCCATCGTCCTCATGCTAACCGTTTTAGCAGGTTGAGTTGCCGCAGGCTTGGGTAGCTTTTCGTGCCCAGGCCCCAGCGGCGACATTTGTCAGTGTTGCAGACTTTTGCTAGCGGGCCCGATAAGTGGGCGCGGCCCATGTGTCAAACGAAGTGGCCCATGTTGTAGCTGGGCACGGCCGTGTCTTCCCCCGCGGGCTAATCGGCAGCGCGAGCGGGATATGAAGGAGGCGGAGATAACCGGCACGTGCTCCGGGTCACACTCCCGGTCACGCCGGTCGTTCTCTCACGCTGCTTTTAGACTCGACCACCATGGCTATCGCGTCGCACCTGCCCTTTTCGCTCCGTCAAGCCCGCCTCCCTGTTCCGTCTTGCGTGCGCCCGTCCGGGACGGCTCGTCTCCACCCGCCTTCCTTGTTGCTGACACTGCCTCCAGCTCTCGCGTTTGTCGGTGTTCTGACTGGAGAAGCCGCGGCTGCGGGCTCGCGACCTGTTGCCTTGTGCACATCTTACTTGCCCCATCGTCAGCCAAAGGGTGCGCTTGTTAGATTCAATCCTGGCCAACTGATTGTTTTTCAATAGCGTTTTCATCTCGTGCCAACGAATGTGGCTTACGGGAAGCAGCGCGGGTGGTATTCGTCAACTAGGCCTGCCTCTCCTACTCAGGCTCTCATCTTGTCGGCACCTCCCAACCCGCCATTTTGACAACGACACAACCGTCAGCAACTTACAGCAGATCGATACTACCGGCGCTCACTCGTACTGGGGGGAGATTCGCGGCAGTTCGGACGGAGGAGGGTCGCGGCCGTGACGGTGTGGGGCCATTGTAGTGGCTACTGTGCTATTGGTGGGACAAGGTCAGTCTGTTGAACGAGAGGTATGGCAACAATCTAAAACTACCCTTCGTCATCGATATTGCAGGTCGTGGTTGGCGTTGGGCGGGGCAGACATGACGCGAGAGGGCTACCGTGTTGCTGGGGAGGAATGTGTTGTAGTCGCGGAAGGTGAGCGTGCTGATCAATACGTTCAATGCGAACTGAGGTGGGCGTTTTCAGGCTGAGAGTGTGAGTGAGCGATGAGCTGGGCCTTCGAGGACGAGAGATTGTCTGAGGAGGTATTCCAGGTACTAAGCTCGCAAAACAAAACACGTTGTCCGCAAACTCACCTATTCCAAAGCTTCAATCGCATGAAGCCGAGACTAAGCAACTTGGAGGACAAGCTGCTTGTTGACGACTCTCGCTATACTCACTAAAAGGGAGGAAACAAGCCTATAGTAGACGACAAGTCTTTTGTTTGAATGAGTCGGCGGACGGATGGCGACTCCGCGCAGAGACGGTCTGCGAACAGGTGAGCGATGTTGATGGGCAGGGATACTGGGAATTGACCGTGCCCAACAGTGCTGACCTGCTCATTTACCCGACCGCGAGCGTCTGCTCCACGCAAGTGTCGCATTCGAAATATAATGCTGCAACGTCAACTCGACATTGGTTGGTTCTCCGCTTGGCGGCCATACGGACGAAGGGAAGGACGAGCAGCAGCTTGCGACGCGGAGCACTTGATATTATAGGAATAACCGGAAGGTAAGCCGTCGGTAGTGTGCGCCATATGCGTGCTAGTCGAAAGTACTGACTGTGTGCATTTCAGATTCTGCCGCCCAGCGGGCAATCGCTCAGAACATAATTCTGGAGCATTTGGAGTCAGAAATGGGAGCAAACGGCGGGCGCCACTGCTGTTAATGGTGAGTAGTCATTCGTGTTTTGTCTTTTTTTTCTAACCGGAATTCGCGATAGATATACTCTCCCGCTTTTACTGTCATCCCATCCCAACCAACTCCCCATGCTCCCACTCGAGCGCCAATTTCGAGAGAGAAGCCTGGGGGCGCATTATCTCGGGACCTCTATCCGCACTGTCGTTTCATTAGAAGCTGCGCCTGCCAACGCCGTTGCTGGTTGGCGAATCGAAACGGTGCGCGCGCGTCGCGCATCATATTGGAGTTGGTAGGGACGTTACAAGAATACAGAATACGGTAAGTAGCGAAAACACAGAACGGTATGTACGCGTATCGTATAGGAACTAGAGCAAGTAGCAGTAGAAACGAAACAGTCCTACTTGAGAGTTACTCGTATCGTATACGGAGCGCGACAGACAGATAGAGTAAAGTAAGTACTAGTACTAGAGAATATAGTAAGTATAAGTAGTAAATGCACTCTTACTCAAGTGAGCGAGAAAACCGATATCAACTCGTCATCGCAAAGATGACCTGAAAGAGAATGGGAGCGCAGATCCTATGAGAGCCTTCGTAAAGAAGCTCTCGCCGCCGCAGAATGACGACAAGGACTCGAAATTGCGCTGAAGTTCGTTTTCTTCGAGTGCCAAACGCGGGGCGAGAGCTTAGTCGTCTGCGCCCATCTGGTGCCCCAAATCACTCCAGCAACACCACCAATCTCCTCCCTAGCACGCCAGACACCACCCGCCCACACCTTCCCCTCCTCCGCCCCAAATCCACCTCCGCGCCGCGCACACAAAGCCCGACGAAAACCGCGCCCAACGACCGCCTTCCGCGGCGCACAGCCCGGCCACAATAAATAGATAGAAGGAAGTCGACGCGGGGCAGCGCCGCATACAGTCGACAGAGCCCTACGGCGCGCGCTCGTCGAGATACATCGAGGGCTTTTCGGCGGCGGGCGGCACGTGACCTTTCCATTTTGGGAAGAGTGGCCGCAGGGTGCGTGGATGGTGGAGATGGCGAGCGTGGGCGCTGGCGCGGGCAGGGAAAGGAGGGGTTGAAGATAGATGATGTGGAAGGACGGAATGCTTGGTTCTGTGTGGCGGAGGGGAGATTCGGGGTCGGTGGTGTTGCTAGGAAGTCGGGAGTCGGAGATGAGGGAAGATGGGGTCTCGAAAGCCGGCTGTCGAGCAAGCGTAGTCATTTGAGGAAGCACAGTTGCCCGCGTTGCATTAAAGCGGGGCTGTGGTGGCCATAGGACGCTTGGCGGCCTTCACGAATCCTATCGTCCTTGGAATACATGTCGAGTGGGTTTTGGCTTCCCCAACTCGGCCCCAAGCCTTGGCACTGCCGTTGCGGTTCAAGAAGCGGGCGATAATGGAGCGATGAATGGGCTCGTAGGGTGGGAAGGGAGCGAGGGCGCCGATATGGCGCCACATGCTGACGAAGACGGGTATGAAGAGTGTATGTAGCGGCAGACTGCATAGACACGGTTTGGCGGCTCTGCGTGCTGCGTTGTCGCATGTGGAAAAGGATGAGAGTTGGTAGGAAGGGCGGGGAGTTGATGTCGTCAAGTGGCTGCTTTCGCAGACGACCGAGCTGGGGGGAACTGGTAGGTGGAGCTGGGCAAAGTGCCGGCAAACGGGTCGGTGTCGTCGTCGCTCGTGAGAAAAGACAAGAGGGGTAGGAGGAAGGGCGGGGAGTTTGGTGCCGATGTCGTCAAGTGGCTGCTTTCGCAAACGACAAAGCTGGGGAAAGCGACAGGGCCGGGGTGTCCGTGTGGGTAGTTGAGCGTGGAGCAGAGAGTGGTGTCGGTGAGGTTTCTCGAGGACGGAAGGCACTGTCAGCCGCGGAGGACGAGAAAAGACAGCCGTTTGGCGCTTGGACAAGAATGGGACCGGTCTGAGCCGACTTTGGAATGAGGCGCTCGCGTGGATCTAGGAAGGTAAGAGGGCCGTCAGATATGGAGAACGAGAGCGTATAGTGGCTTGACGCACTAGTTGCCCGCGAGCGGCTCGGCCTTGTAGCTCTTTCCCTGGTGGTCCACCGCTCTAGCTATTCCACCCTTCGTCATCTGATATCGTGCACGTTCCCTGTCCCGGCATAGCGGGTCGACGGAGGGCAAGCGTGAGGTTGGAGCAGGTCGTCGTCGTGGCCAAGAAGAAGGAGGGCGGGGATGACTGTCACACATCCCTTCTTTTCGTCTTTGCTCCTTGTCAACGCCGACGCCGACGGCCAGCAACAACCGTCAAGGCCATACGCGCGGGCGACGAATGGCGCACGACAACTTCAAGTTTTGAGCCAGGATATGGAGGACGAGTGACAGGTGTCCGCCGCACGTTCAGGCTTAGGCCGTCCTTCACGCGCGCACCCGTCCTCGTCCGCACGGCGAACGTCGGTCGCCGGTGACGACGACGACGACCCACACCCGACTCCCATATATATATGAGATCGGGCACGATGAAACGCCGCAACGCATGTAATGGTCGCATGCAATTTCTCCCACCACCCTTCTCTTGTCCTCAATCGCGTAGACCCGGCCTGTTCCCTGTGTACCGGCCCTCCTACACCCGCCTCTTTCCCCCGACACACTCGCTATACCACTTCACAACCGTGAATCACTGTCGTTATGTTTGCACTTGTCGCTTTGCTCCTCCTCCCTTCCGTCTTGGCCACAAACCACACTTTGTCCCGTCGTTACAGCAATATTCGGATGACAAACTACTTCGGTGAGTGCCTTGTCACCGTTTCAGGCATCTTCTGAAGCGACCGACAGCTGGTGAAGACCAGTAAGTCTTTGTCGCGAAGGCGCGAGGGAGAGAGAGGGCTAACGAAGTGCTCTAGAGGCGCGTGCGGTGCCTGGCATCAAGACAGCGAATTTGTTCGTTTGTTTCCAGTCCTGTTCCATCGCTCACACTCTGACAGGTCGTTGCGCTCTCACACCAAAACTTCAATAACGGACAATACTGCAATAAGCAAGTTACCATCTCTTACAACGGCAAAACTGGCACCGGTATCATCGTTGACGAGGTGGGTTTCCCATATCTGGCTCTTGCACCGCTAACTCCGACCACAGTGCATGGGTTGCCCAGAGTGGGGCCTCGACTTGTCGCAGAGCTTCTTCGGTCATTTCGTTGGTGGCCAGCAAAACAACAACCTTGTCGGCGTTATTCAAGGTGCGCAATATGTCCGCTTACGCACCCGCATCTCATTCTTTCTAGCGGAATGGTCGTTCGGCGGATCTGCCGGTAACAACGGTGACAACGGCGACAACGGCGCTAAAAAGACCACAACGACGACCAAGCCCACGCCCAAGCCGACCACTACCTCGACAACCCATACCCCGCCAACGACGACAAGCACGACTCCAAAGCCTTCGTCGTCTACCAGCCCAGTCCATTCCGAATCCCCTTCGAAGTCCGCAGCACATTCAGCCAGTCCGAGCGCAAGCCCGTCTACACCGGCTGGTCCACAGAATTTGGATGCTTTCACGGGGTCTTTGGTTAACCTGCTTGGGCTCGTCGTTCAGGCAGGCCATGCCGCTTAGGTTCTGTTGTCTTTTTTTCATACTTGGGGTAGAAAAGTCTTCCTTGAATCATAATTCCTGTTTTGGCGCTTGCTGGGATTCACCAAGGAAATGAGTTAGACAGATCGGATCAACTCCGCTCCTTTCAAAAGCACCCATATGCGCGATGGTCAGCCATGGCCGAAACTCCCCAATCCTTGCGCCAGCGCTTGTCCGTTCTCGACGACGACATCTTCCAGCTCCAGAGTAAACTCAAAATCCTCACTACCGAGCGCTCTCGTGTGGTCGTAGCGCTTTCCGCGCTGACCTACCCTGTCGACACCCTGCCCACCGAGATTGTGGGGCAGATAGTCGCAGCCTACATCGAAAACCCAGGGATTGGGGGTGGCGCTCCGCTGGGGAGTCCATCGAGAGGACCGTTGCTGTTGGCCGGTGTGTGCAAGCGATGGCGGGACATTGTCTTCTCCCTGTCCGCTTTGTGGACAGAGCTGCATGTCTTCCCGCGCCGAAACTACCCGGATGTAGAGTCCTATGAAGGGCTGGTGACTCTTCTCGGTCTTTGGCTGTCCCGAGCAAGAGGTCGGGCGATATTCTTGCGGCTGCAACGCACCTTTCGGCAGGATCTTTTGGTCGAGCTGTACAACGTTATCGTCGAGTTTGCTCCGCAAATTCGATGCCTTGAAGTCCCCCTCGACTACTTCACCCCGTTTCCGAACGAAGAACTACTTGGCCGCCTTCCGATACTCGAAACACTGGTGGTGGATGTCGACGAGCTGAATAGAGATGGGAATAACCCTCTGCTCACATTGGACGCATTCAGCGCGGTACCGCAGCTCCGGGAGGTCATGGTCAACAGCGTCCGAGAACTGCGCCTCCCGCTTCCTTGGGCCCAAATTACGCACCTGACCTTCCGGCAAACACCGCTTTTTTGGGCGCTCGAAATATTGCGACTGACAACGCAGCTGGAATACCTCTCTGCATCGATGCTGCTGGAATACCCATTGCTGCCAGCCTCAGCATCGGAACCTATTCAACTGCAGTTGTTGCGCACCCTCGTTCTTCACGAGGATAACGATGACTTTCTTGTCATTCATCTAACCTGCCCCAATTTGTCCACCCTCTTCTTCAATGGAGTAACAGGCAAAGGCGGGTGGCTCAACACCGCACGCCGCTCGCAATTTCCGCTTTCCTCGCTCCGCATTGTCGGCATGAGCTGCGAAAACATCATTGGTTGTCTCACGGGCCTGCAAGACCCAGAACAGAGCTCTTTGCGCTGCGACATCCAGTCTTTGGACGTGGAAATCATGTGGCGGGACGAGCATTTTGCCTCCTTCCTCCAGTTCCTTGTTGCCAATGCCCCACGCCTCCGGAGGCTTAGGCTGGACCACTGTCCGACGGACATTTCGCTTGAGCTGCTTGCGCAAGTGATAGCGGGCCGACTGGAAAAGTTACACGTTTCTTTTTCGACTAATGACATGCGCCTCGTTGACCTCGATAGGGTGTGGGAGGCGGTGGAGTCGTTTAAAGAGGTGGATATAAAACTAGAATAGCTGATACTGAGATTTGCGCTTGTGGATGAATATCAATCCGTCTTGACTTCAGACCATCACCACCCATCGACCCAACAGCCACCAGTAGCGCTTCAATCCACCATCCCCGAGTACCTTTCTCTCTGAACAGAGTCACAACTTCGCAATCGTTTTTTGAGCAATGTATTGCTATCGGGAGAGAAAGTTGTCGGAAGGAGAATGGAAAGAGCCAGGCGGGCAAGGTGTCTCGTATGAGGTTGCTCTGCAATGTCGTGAGTCTCCTTCATCCCGGTCGCTACCAAAGCCGAGCTCGTGTTGACGGCGCCAGACAGCGCCAGACCGACCCTTCCATCACTTCCTCTTGCCTGCACCAAACGTCCAACTCAGTCCCGCCCTCCAACCCGCTGCCAACATCGTTCCGGAATACGAAACTTTGCCCGGTTTGGAACAACGACAACATGGCCCCCATTAACTTCGGCATTCTACACCCTTTGCGATAAAACCCGCCTCCCCCACATTTCCTACCCCATACCTGCTGCCACAATGCAAGTGTTATGTGCCCCGCGTCGAGCAAAGCCGCACTGGCTGGCCGAAATGGCTGCATAGCGGTCTCTGCATTGCCAAATCCTGTTTAAACACCGAAGACACCTACACCAGCGAGCGGCACATCGTTCTCTTCTACGAATGCGACTCAAATCGATGGGTGTTCTCACAACGCGGGAACTCTTTGCGACGAACGCTCTGTCTTTCACATCGACTACGATAGCCCACCGCCAAATATAAGTCGGAGCGCTGCAATACCGAAGTCGGGTCCGCCGAGCCAAAACCTTGACCCCAAGACTTCCTTTGGCACTCGAAAAGGCGAGTAGCACGCCATTGTCCGTGAATGTCTTTCGCTAAATACTAAAACATTGTCAGTTTCGAAAGATATGGACAACATTCCCAGTAAAGCCATACCGGCCTTGGGGTCTTTGGCAAATGACTGCATTTGCTCAGCGCAGCCAGCGTTGGCTACAGCGACCCGTTATTTCGCTAGATATGGCATCGGACTAGCAACGAAAGGCAATACAAGAAGGGACGACGACAACATGCGCTGGAATATATACTCCGTGAACGTGGATGAAGGTGCTTCAGGGTGAGCAAAATTGCCAGGAGAAACCACAAACTGACCGACAGTGAACAGTAAATTGAATAAGGGGCGGATGTGGTGGCCTATTATAAGTAGTAAGCATGCCAAATGAGCAATGATTGCAATCGAACGAGACGCTGACCATAAACGAAGGTCGCATATGGTTATTTGTGAACAGTACCACGCATGTACCTACTGCAATAAAGAGGAGAGTTTCTTAACAGCTAAGTATGCGGTACAAAGGTGTCAGAGTGGGGGGCAAGAGCACATAACGACCAGCTTTGATATAAGCTATTCTGTTTGGTTGATAAGCTGATCCAGAAACTCTCCGTAACCAACGACATGAAATTCTTTGACCTTGAGAGTAACTGTAGAATGGACTTCACTCGTTCGAACGGTACAACTAAAATAGCTAAAACAGAGCTTCCCCAGAGATCGGCGTTTCGGGTTGATATGAATCCAACTTGTCCTCAGACCATCACCACTACGCTATGGCATCGACCCAGCAGCTCCGGGCCCGTTTGGCAGAGCTTCAGACCACCATCCCCGCGTTGAAGGCCAATCTAGACACATTCATTGCCGAACAGAATGACATCGTTGCTGCTCTCAGCACCATCGTCTACCCGGTACATACTCTACCTGTGGACATTCTCGTGCTCGTCTTCGAGGAGTACATCGTGGCGCCCCACATCGGCAGCTCGCGATACTCTGAATCGCCCTCTCGCGGCCCGCTTTTACTTGCCAGCGTCTGTAAACAGTGGCGGGCGCTGTGTCTTTCGCTGCCCAGTCTCTGGATGTCGCTGGATGTCTACCCACGCCGAAACTACCGCTCCAGAGACGAATACAGTGGTCTGCTGACCCTGCTCGAGGCGTGGCTTCGCCGCTCTGCCCCCTGCCCCATCGATCTTCGCATTGGCACCTGCTCGCGACAGGACCTGATGGACCAGATGTTTACGCTGCTCGCCGTCCATTCGACACGCATACGCACTCTGGAGCTGTCTCTCCAGCGCATATTCAAGTTCCCTGACGACCTCCTGTTCGACAAGCTGCCTGGTTTGAAGCGACTGCAGGTGTCGACGACCGTTTTCTTCCTACGCGGAAACGACGCCGACCAAGCCAATTTGGTCTGGGTTTGGCATCGCGCCCGTCGCTGCAGGATGTTGTCCTGGAGGGGGTGTTTTTGCAGCAGATTGCGCTTCCCTGGCCGCAACTTTCGCATCTGACTCTGTCGGGGATAACGCTTGTCGGGTGTCTCGAAATACTGGAGCTGACTCCCCAGCTTGAATCGCTTTCCGCTGATCTACGGACAAACAACTACCTATTTCACGGTCCCTTGCCTCCTTCGGCTGGTCTCCCGCTACTAGTGCTCACCCGTCTACACACACTGACGGTCGGATTTTCCGAGGAAGGCGGTCTACTCGAGCAGCTCATGCTCCCCGCTGTCACGACATTGAATATCAATGGGATGAACACGCTTGGCCCACCTTCTCCCGTCCTCTCCCGCCTCATGAACCTCGCCGAACGGTCGCAATGGCCGCTCACGGCTGTCGGGTTTGCGTTTACGTGGCCAGCGAATATCGCCGAGTGTTTCTCTGCCCTCCAGAATGGCATTCACAACTCGGTCAACTGCGACATCGAGTCGCTGCGTATCGAGCTGCGTCCGAACCACACGGGCACGCACCTCAATCCGCTCCTGCAGAGCCTCTCGTCCCGCGCGGGGAGCAACCTGCCCAGCGTGAAAGAGCTGGTGCTGGAGAATTGTCCGGCAGACATTGCCATTCCCTCTCTTGTGTCGATGGTCCAGTCTCGCCGGAGTACTGGTCAGCGTCAGGCTCTTCAGCGACTACGCTTGGTGTTTTCGAAGCCGGAGGCGAAGGCCAAATTGGACGCGGTTTTGTCTGAAGTAAGGAAGAGCTTGCGAGAGATTGAGGACGGTGGACTTCGTATTGCTGTGTCGGTTGTCGAATAATACGTCTTGCGTCTTTCTTTTACAGACCATTTCAGTGGTGGGGAAGGCCAGCTTGAAAGAGATTCTAGCGAGAGAAAGCCGGGGCGATTTTATGTCTCTTTTACAATTAGACTCAACAGGTTGGTTAAACCTGTTAATTTCGACGTTGAACAATGTACACTGGGTACCTTGGGTATTTGTGGTAAATGTTTCGCGGGCTCCGTGGTTTTGGAGGGGAAGATATGGCTTGGAGTCAACCATCATCACCATCTCCCGCTTCCGTCTTCCCCCACTTGCCATGGCGCTCTACATCCTTCGAAAGCGCTCTGCAGAGTCACCCGCCCATCTGTCCTTGTCCGTTTAACGGCCTGGCCGAACCACACAGTCCACACTCGTTCACACTTCCGAGCTGCAC